AAAAAAAAAACTTCCTAAAACTCTTCTCCTCTTCCACAATTTCATTACCTGGTGTAGCCACCACAAAAATTTTTACTCTTTGCTCATCTTTAGAAACTGCCTTTTGTCCTACTCCCTCTCCCTTCTGAGGAAACACTCTAGTTCCGCGTCTTACTGCATCCTACTACAACGTTGACAATATCTCAAAGACACTTGCCAGAATAATGTCCTCATTATCGGTGTCGCTCTCGCTACTTTCAATCTCAAGTAAGCCAGGCGTAGTACCCTCTGTTCCCAGTTCCTCATTCTCTTCCTCCTCTGGCCGCTTTGTTGTTGCCGTCAGTGTTCCAGCTTGGATTCGCACAAACGCCGCAGCGATCTGAAAAACTGAGCGTCATTACCATATTCAGGCAATTCTTTGCATCAAAATAAAAATTTCTTTTATAAATCAACCTCGACGAGAGGCGAACGTACTGGAAATAAACTGAGTGGTACTGCATTGCTAACAGCAGCCAAAAGCTAGTTATGCTTTATCTTAGCCACGAAGGAGGAGGGATCTCGATTTTCGCTCATAAACATCACAATAGTCAAAAATAAAAAATAAAGAATTTGATGAATTGAATAAAATAATGTAACCAGTGAATATAATTTAATGCAGCCAGACACTAAGCTGATTGGGGAACTCTTTAAAATATCTATTTTTGACTCTGAAAACATCAAAAAACTCAACATTTTGGGGCTTCATTTTACTGCACGAGGCTTCAGCCAGATTTCGTGGAGCGCTCTGCAACTAAGGGATTTGATGTAACTGCTAACCTCTTTGACAGCAACTACGCCAACCAGAACACCGCATTTCGTGACGTAAGCTCGACGAATCCCGAGTAACGAGAAGACCGAATGGACTTTGTAGAGAGATGCGTCTTCGACAAGCTGAAATGGTGCTGGATCGATGACCGTCTGCGAGAAGTCGATTTCCTTGTTTAGCTGCTCCTGCTCCCAAATTCGACGCTCCTCGTCGCTTAGATCTGATGCTTCGCCTTTCCTTCGGTTACGAAATGTTTGTGTAATTTTTTCAAATACACCTGTAACAGCGAACAAGTAAAATTTCTTGACAACAATTGAAAATACGAATAAATAATCTATCTGTTGTCAAGAATACCAAAATCGCCAGGCCAGTCGGTGTGTTAGTGATGTTATTGGGATGCATCCACAAATCTGTCACAGTTATCCCTAAGCCCTTCGTTCCTGGGCTGCACACCTCAGTTAGTCACATGCTCGATGTACGTGCGCCATTTTTTTTTACAATGGCCGCTCGAGTTATGGTTTATTTTTTACAACATAATTTAGGATTTGGTAATTAAAAAGATTATCAAAACAGTTGGGTTCTGCGTAAATCCGTTACAGCATGATGCTGGGATGCACGTACACGCCTTATACATACTTTACCTGGTCATTCAGACCTGAGCTGCATACATCCATTTAGTGCCTACCACATGCTCTCTGATGTGTATGTCGTCTTTTTCCAGGCCACCAGGGCGACCGTTTACTCCACAGTGGTACTACTGACTAATGCGTAGCGTTCACGGCTATTAGCAAAACAAGCAAATCGTCCTGCCTAATGGATTTTTCTGCTTACTTCCAAGGGTTCCGTAAAAATCGTGGCCGGAATGTGATTTGATAAGTCGACTTGCATTTCGCTTTCTTCGTAGTTTCTTCAGCTCTCGCATATCGTATTCGCTGGCCGATGTCTTCAGTCGCAGCTGTTGACTTTCTTTGTATTCGAA